GATAAATTATGAAAAACTATTGGAATGCAAAAAGAATCTTTATAATTTAAATTGCAATTTGAATGCGCGGGACCTCTGTATCGCCCGGTCAGATGGCAATGATCGCGTACGCGTGTATCGTCTTGTACGAATGGTTTCTCGCAAATGTGACATTGTGTTGCGCTATGAAATTTTTCCCATTCATCAGATGTTAAATTTACCATGGGGACATTAGCTGATAAAATAATTTTTACACGTTGCGCTAAATTTTTTAGTTCTTCGACGAACCATGACATGCAATCGGTACTGCGACGAGAATGATACGCGGATAACGATTCGACGAACAATGTACATAATATGCTATGCTAAATACTTTGTGATGTTGGTAGTTTCTCTCTTCCTCCGTCTTCTCCAAAACGCACTCCAAGTCGGCGTATACGATAAAAGGAAGCCGCTTTTTCCGATTATAATTGTTGAACGTGAGCCACTTGTTCTTATCGCTCGGTAATCGGATAGAGCACTCGTTCATCTCTCGACATTCCACCGTATGTGATTGTAACTTGTCATTCGAATCAAAGTAATGCAAACATCTGTAAAAAGAAATTATTTTTTATTTTTTGTTCAATTATTTCTACAATGTGATTTATTAAATATATACGTACCGATCGCAGATATATTTCTTGTGTTCTTTCTTGCTCAATTGCGAGCTTACGAGGCGGGATAGATTCTTGATCCATGCGAAATGTCCAATGTTGTTGTCTTCAATGTACAGCAGGTTGACGTGTTTGTCTCTTTTTAGCTCACTCAGACGTATCGGGACAATGTTCTTTTCCTCGATACTATATACATTGATTGAGATATCGTTGGCAAGTTCGAATTTTTTAAATTGGTTTACAGTCACTGGAAACTCAATGTCCTGGAGATTCAGCACTGTTGTTTAATGAGGATACGAAGAAATTCCCGACCTACGTCCCTTTCAGCTGGATGTAGAGCGGCGACCACAGACCATGCAAAACACGCATTGTCTTTAAATTGCACGTTGATCACCGCTCTCTTCATTATTATCGCCCGCGGTAATTTTATGTGACATCCCGCGCGCGCATAGAATTATATTTATTTATATTTACAGTTGTTCAGGAAATATCGCTCCCTTTTCTCAATTTTTGCACCGGCATCTCACTTACTCTAGTCCTTCTCTCTAGCATTTTCTCTCTCTTCCTTTTTCCTCTTGTACGCGGCCGTGACCCAATCCCGCAGCCTGTCCTATCAATCTAACTAGTCTCGCGCAATGTTATCACCCAATCATAAGCACGCTCTCAGGACCTTATCCGCGCTCCTGCGTCGATATCGACCCTTCCGGAAATCCTCGATCATTCTGTGAGTACCGGTCTATCGTGACGCACGTTGCCTTTAGAACAGTTTTCGCTCTCTGAATATTCGGTTTAGATTCTCGTGGATCTGATCATACGCGCGTGAAGTGTGCGCTATCCCTTCTCGGGACACCGGGGACTTGTACGCAGTTATCGTACGAAGCACGCGGTACGTCGTAAAGCGACGTAACATTCTCTTGCAACCTCTCTCGAATTCCTCGGCGGATTTCGCGGTCGTTCTCAATTACAAACTATAGAATTATTGCATAAGATCCTAGACTAATAAGATTTAGTGTAATTATTAGAATAAAGCGAGATATCATCGCTAGAAGAATTGTGAAGTGCGGCTCATATTTGTTTGTGTGTGTTACTCATTGACTGTTCTGCCCGACACCCCCGAAACCAGACATTTCTCGGGTTATTTATTAAACATTTTTTGGTCCTTCGAGCTGGATCGGTGGGTGCGGTAACGAACATCTCAAGGTGAACTCTGTATGCGGATTTGGAAAATCGTGTGTGCCTCCACGTGCTACCGGCGAA